AGAGGAGGCCCCGTCACCGGGTCTCAGATACGGGCTGCACCTTAGCAGGAGCGGGTTGAAAGACTCAGGTCATCTTTTGGAAACTACTGTCAGAACCTGCAGGGAACATGTTCTGCTAGGCTGGAAGTCATTAGAGTTCCAGGAGGTCGAAGCCCTCTGGTGGCCTCCAAGATCCGCTTGCCCAGTGGTCCTCCAACAGGTCAGACCACAAGTTCTCTGAGAAAGCAAGCTCACACTTAGAAACTGAACCCCAGCTTGGAAAATCGCAGGAAGAGGAGCTGCTCCAAGGAGCAAGGTCGGGAGCTTCTACATGAGCTTTACTTGCCAATGGAGGCCCCCCTTTCCCTTGGGGCCACCTCAAGGCACAGGATCTGTAAGATCCTTATTTTGCAGAGAAGGAAAATTAGATCCTAACACAGTGAGGGGCTGCTTGGGTTCGCCAGAAAGCTGATCCAGGGGCAAAGGCAGCCCCGCAATGTTTGCCCATGCAAAAGGCAGTGCAGCCTGGTGGGCAGTTCTTTTCAACTCTCCAGCAAGAGGATGAAGGTGGTTTTGGTGCCAGGACTTATGACTTATCATGAAACATGTTAGCCTCCCTCTCTCCTTTGATTTGCTTAAAAATGCATGAGGTGAGACAGGTTCTGAAGACCTGGGTTCAAAGGAGAAGGGAATCCTAGCTGGTTTATACAGCAGAGCCAAGATTCCAAACCATGCTTCTTGATGGGCATAGTGGCACCTGCCTGCTATAGGAGGCTGAGGAGGGAGGACTGCAAGTTCAAGATCAGCCTGGGAGACTTAGCAAGAGTATGTTTCAAAAACCAAAGGAAACCAAAACCAATATTCTTTGTTCCATGTCTCATTCTCTAGCTGGGCTCTGCCACAGTCTAGCTGGGTACCCTTTGACCTTTCTGAGCAGTGAGGGGACAGTGAGGGGGCAGGGACAGATCCAATTGCTTTGGGACTATGTCTTGGGGTACAGAGGCGAATGGTACCCTGGCTGTTGGCATCAGAGAGCTGTGGAAAGAAAGCCTCCTTCGCCCCATGGCCTCCTGGGCGGCTGTCATCCAGCATACAGGGCTGGCCCAGGCACATGTCAAGTCCGAGCAGGGCATGGCTGTATTTACAAGGCCTATAACTCTATGCCCTCTTGTAGGCTACTTAGGGATTGTGATGGGGAAAACAATCAGGTGCCACAGGGCCTCTGGGAAGAAAGCAGCCCAGCATTTCTTAGACCACAATGAGAGACAGACAGACAGACAGACAGACAGACAGACAGACAACAAGCACACATAAGCTGTAAATTTCCAGCATGTCTTCAAGAAGAAGCCAAGATAAATGAGGATGAATTATCTTGTGCTGCTGTTGAGCAGCAAAGCTGGGTGACCAGCAGCCAGTCGTCACCTGCTTTACCCGGTCTGGAGCAGGGCAGAAGCCAGCTCCCTTCCTGAGTAAGGGAGGACAATGCTTGTCTTCTGGAAAGGCCTTCCCCGTAGTGACTGCTTGTAAAGGAAACGGGGTTTTACTATTTTAGTATATGTGCTGCCGAAGCAAGCACAAAAACGGGGTTTTACTGTGGTGGTAGCTGGCTGGGGCTGGTTTCCCTGTGCCTCTCTATAGCAGAATTCCTGACGCAGGAGAGGGGTAAGGGAAGCGGGGGAGGACAGAGGGCCTCTGAGGGGCTGTACCAAATTCCTATGGCTGCCATAACAGATCTCCACACACAGTGGCTTAGAGAAGTAGAAAGTTGCTTTCTCCCAGGTCTAGTGACCAGAAGTCGGCGGCTGAAGTAGTGGTAGGAACACCTTCCCCTACAGACGCGAGGGACAAATCTTTCCTTGCCTATTCCTGCTCTAGGTGGCTGCTGGCATTCTTCGGTGCATGGCAGTATGACTCCAATCCCTGCCTCTGTCCCTACATGGCCCACTCCTTTTGTCTTCTTATAAGCATGCCTGTCACTGGGTCTGGGATCCATAGCAGCAGCCCTGGGTCAACTCATGTCAAGATCTTTAGCTTAATTACAGATGGTCATGTACACAGGTTGGAATGACAGAGGCAGATCTCTTTATAGGGCCATCGTTCAATCTACCGTGTCTAAGCACTTTGTCTACTGCAGTGTCTAAACACTTTGCATAGTTGTTTATTTATTTTTTTTTCAGGAACTTTATTTTATTTTATTTTATTTTTATTTATTTTTTTGTGACAGTTTTTTTTTTTCAACAAATAATACACTGCATATATTCTTCTTAGTGGTTAATTGCTGTACAAGATGCGGACTTGTGATCCTATTTACAAACACCATTAGAACAAATCATTCTATTCATTAACAGAATGTAACTATATATCTATCCCAACCACTTTGAATACACAGATACAAAATGGACATTCATCTGTATACCCCATTTTTTCTAAGTTCCGTTATTGAATATTATAGGTGTGTAAACTCAGCAAAATATTCTAAAAGAGTCCAGTAGCCCATAATAGCATTGGGTCTTCTGTTTAACTGGCAATGTCAGAAATTATTGACCTGAGTCCCCCGCAGCTCAACTTAACAGCATGGCTTTATTTCTTATAATTTCATCTTCATACTTTTCTGCTGGATGGTTAAGACCAAGGTAAAGCAGGACCTATGCAACAGGAGTTGTAGCTTTTTGGTCTGAGAAGGTCAGTGAAATGCCCTCAGGATTTGTCCTGAGATCCTGTACCTCAGATTGTAGAACCTTTATCAGTGCAGCCATGTGGATGAGTCACGGCCATTGCTTGGCTAATGTGCTCTCTGTGAAAGCCTGAGAGAGTGTTTTCTCCCCATGTGACTCTCCTTAGGCCCACTCTATGTCATCGATCACTTTCCTCTTTGGCCCCATAATCTTCTTGATCAGAAAATTTGGGACACTACCGAGGTACATGACGTTACAGTACAAGTTCTCATGTGTCCTGAGTCTTAATTGACCTTAGAAGGCTAGGGCCAAAATGTTGGCTTTCCTTGTAGCCCTCCTTTTTCTCTAATTTTGGTCTGCAAACTTAGGTTGTTAACCATCCAGAAGAAAAGCTTATTGTTATTATCAAACGATTTGGGCTATCAATCTTAACCTCACTATCTCACTGCATTTCAAACATCTTAGGCATAATAAGGAACAGGTATTTTTCATCAAGTATTGATATGTTGAACTTTAAGTCCCTACAGAATATGATAAAAAACATTTAAAAATTAGATTATATTTTAAAAAATAGGATAAAGAATTCTATGCTTCTCATGTTTGCACATAAGTCCAAAGAAAAATACAATTTAGAGGGGAGAGCGAACTTGTTCACATTCACACCATCACTCCGTGGCGGGGCTAGCTTGGAAACTCAGGGCTTCATCACCAGATGTGGGGGAAGGGGATCAGCATGTGGCAAGAAAAGGAGGACCTGAGAGTGGCCCAGGGAAGCGGATCTGAGAGCAGTTTTGTCTTGTTGGAAAGATGTGTGTGTGTGTGTGTGTGTGTGTGTGCGTGAGATAGGAGCTGAAGCTGACCTGGCGGGCTGGGTCTCCTTATGGAGAGAGGGTCATGCAGGGAGAAGGATACACAGCCCAGGTAAAGGTGGAAAGGGCAGGAGACCAAAGGGCAGAAGAGGGAGAAGCAGTGGGTCGAGTGGCCGGGGAGGGGCGCGGGGAAATTAGGAATCTAGAAAACTCCACATCTGGCTGCTGAAGGTGCTGTGAGGCCACTGCTTGTAGAGTGGACACGTGGAGGGCACGTGGAGCGGCTGGAGACTTCCTGTGAGCAGCCGGGAGTCTGCCCTTGTGGAGGGTGTCCGCCTGGACCTCCGCCACCACACAGTCCCCACGAGCCTTTCTCAGGAGTGAAGGACGGGACAGAAGGAGGCTCCGAGGGCCCGCTGTCGGCAGAAGGTCTGGCTCTGTGGGGCACTTTCCTCATCAGGCGGCTCAGGGCTGTGGTTCTGGGTATTGTTCTCGGACACTGAGCGCTTTCCTGTTTCTCAAGACACCCAGCAACTCCATGAGCTGCTTAGTAACTTCATTAAGTTCCCTTTCTGTGTTAGCCAGACAGACTGGATCCTGTTATTTACAGCTAAGAGCCCTGAACCGCACAGTGGGTTCTAGGGTGAAGGTGAGAAAGCATGGCAGGGGACAAGGGCATGGTGAATGTGAGGTGCCAGCGACATGGGGCAGCGACATTCAGGGAGGGGTGGATTATTCGGGGGAATTGTTTTAAGGAGTGGATGGAAGCCGAGGAGACTTTGGAGGGAGCAGAGAAAATAGGAAGACTGAGAAAATGCAGCAATGAGGAGAGGGGCTTGTTCCCTGTCCCCTGTCCCCTGTCCCCTGCCCTGAGAGCATCTGGCCGTGGCATTTGTAGCTGCGGCACACCCGGAGTGACCTCACGGAGCTGGAGACGCACTTGTGCCCAGTGGGCTGTGTCAGCTCAGGCCTTTAATCTCAGTCCTCTGGAGGCTGAGGCAGGAGGATCCCGCAAACTGGAGGCTAGCCTAGGCTTCAAAGTGAGTTCAAGTCCAGAATGAACTGCCCAGAGAGAGGCTCTTGTCTCGGCAAACCAAAACAAGCCCTACCTCCAAATTGGCCCCAAAGCTCTCTCTTTTATGATCATCTTTGAATCCAACTGGTCACTGCAAATTCGGGGCTTGCACAATGACAAGGATCGCAGGAAGGTCCAGAGGAAAACACATATTGTGCAGAATGTGATATTCTACTCTGTGTTATTCTCTACTTTGCAATTTACCATACTCCCAAAATATTACCTCTGGATCATCATAAGCAATTCTGTTACATTAGGATAACAGAAAAGTTCTGTATTGAAGTAACACCAAGCAAAGTATTGTATTTTACTTTCACATTGAAAACCAGCCCAATCTGCTTCAGCTTCAGAGCATGTTTATGCAAAATTAAACGAATGTTGTCAACAAGCTGTGCCTTTGTTTTTTTTCCTAAATGGGGAAAGAAAGAACAGTTACCTGTGCTGAAATCGGCCAAGGAGCAAGTTAGAAGAACACAGAAGATGGAGCTTTGCTGTTGGCATTCAGAGGGTAGAGGGTGACCGACGAAGCTGACCCACTGGTGTGACAAGGACAGGAGTGAGACTGATGGGGAAGGAGGAGAGGATGGAAGAAGAGCAAGAACATTCTAGAGCCCGAGGAGGGAATGAAAGGACGAGGCATGAGTTAAGGAGAGAAGCTTAGTTTGCTCGTCGCGGAGCGGGGGAGCTGTGGTGATGGAGACCATAGTGTAGGCAGGACTGGGTGGCCAGGCGAGCACTTGCCTGGCAAGTACAATGGCTTGAGTTCAATCCCCAGAGCTAAAAAAAAAAAAAATCATTTTGTACTTGTCTGGTAGCCAGGCGATGCCCCATGTGGTCAGGTTGTTTATTCCTAGGTAATTGATATTTTCTGATGCTTTTCTAATGATGCCCCTGCCTGGGGCCTGCGGGGCAAGAGCTCCACCACTGAGCTATGACCTCACTCGTTTTTTAGTTTTCACTTTGAGACAGGGTCTTGCTAGCTGCCCAAGCTGGTCTTGAATGTAGGATCATCCTGTTCAGGCTCCTGAGTAGGTGGGGTTACAGGAGTTCCCCACTGTCCTGGTGCATCTGCTCTTCAGTTACATCTAGTTGTTGAATAAAAAGTCTATCAGTTATTGAAATGCAGTCAGACAGATGGGATCCAAATAACTTGGGCAGGGACTTATCTTGGTTATTTTCCGCACGCTGCTGGAATAAAATACCCAACATCAAGATTAAGGAAGGAAAGATTTATTCAGTTCACCATTTGTGAAAGTTTCAGTCCTTATTTGGCTGACTCCAAGGCAGAGTAGCGCATGGCGGAGGGCAGCAGTTCATGGGGATGGAAATCAGCAAGACAGCACGAGCAAAAAGGGAGGAGCAGCAGCAAGAACAGCGAGCAAGCCCCTGTCCCTTCCTTATACTGCGTTCAGGCTGCCTGCCCAGGGCAGGTGTAGCACCCGTAACCCCAGCACTGGATCACGAATTAATCACAACCTCTCGAAGTCTGCCCCATGACTGCATGAGGCTTTAGAGGGACAACTAGACACAAACTATAATAAGACTCAAGGTTGAAATCCACAGAGCTCTGAAGCTGAGGTCGTACATGGGTTTGAGGTGTACCTGGGTCAGGGGCCTAGGACAGCACCTACTTGCGCCTGGATTACAAGTGATCTTTTCCATTGTCACTTGGTCAATCTGGGTGCAGCTCCCCAGTGTGGTCTGAATGTCTGCGTTCCCTCAAAACTCACATGTTGACTTAATCTCTGGTGAGAGAGTATTTATGGAAGTGGTTTTGTTAGGAGGGCAGAGCCCTTAGAGATTAAGAGCCTTAATCCCTTTATGAGAGAGGCTGGAAGAAGCATGTTTGCCTCTTTCTGTCGTGTGAAGATACTGAAGCATTGTCTGTGAAGCACAGCGGTCCTTCATGAGACACCCAATCCATCTGCAGCTTGACCTTGAACTTCTAGCCTCCATGCCTGTGCGCAATACTCTTTGCTGTTTATAAATTACCTGGTCTAAGGCATTTTGTTTCTTTGTTTCTTTTTTTTTTTTTGCGGAACCGGGGATTGAACTCAGATCCTTGCGTTTGCCAGTCAAGCGCTTATCCTACTGAGCCATCTCCCCAGTCCTCTGGTCTAAGGCATTTTGCTATAGCACCCTGAACAGACTAGAACCAGCCCCTACTCTGAGACCTGTGATTTGGTCTGGTGCCCTGAGGAAAACAAACTTGCCTTGTTTCAGTTTCTTGAAACATAGGCTCTGTCTCCCAGCTCTCTCCTCTGGAGCAGAAAAGGCTGGGACCACAGGCTTCCTCCCCGGCAAAAGGTGCCGGTCCCGAAGTCCCTTTGCCACCAGCCTGGCATCCGAGGGCTCACACTTGCTGGGGCCCAGATAAGGCTGCCCTTCTGCTCCCTCCGTGCAGTTTGAGGCTGCAGTGTGGCTCCTGGCACCTTCTGCCTGCAGCCCAGCCCGAGTGTGCTTCTCTGCAGGATGCTGGGGTCCCTGGACCTGGACCTGCTGATCTTTCGCTGGTACTGGTATCAGGTGACACGGATGATACTCATCCCGAGTCTGTCGGAGGTCCTGCTATGTGCCACCCTGTGAGTATCATGCACACAAGCCCCGTGTTTATTCTCTCACTATCCAATGTCTCCCTGTTAGAATTTTTGCCTTCTGTGTGGCCAGGAACATCACTTTACCCATGCAGAGCTGCAAAGCTACCTTTGCGCTGTGCCCATGGTAATGCCCACCAGTCCTGCTAGCTCGTGGGCAAGGCAATCAGCAATCCTCTACTCACACTGTTCGGTGCAGGGAAGGATAAATGGCAATGTCGTGGATCCTTTAATTCATTACCAAAGCCTCCTTTTCCCTGAGCATCACAGAAAGATGCTCAGAGGCAGACACGAATATCGAGTGGGGCACACACTGTTGTCTGAAGCGCAGTGTTCTCGGAAGAGTTAGAGCGACTGTCAAAGCCCCCGACACATCCATTTTTATTAGTTTTGATGGTGATTTGATGTTGTTAGGGATTCAGGTCTCATCTTTGCCTCTGAGGTCATCTGAATAACGTTGGTGATGGGGCAGAGAAAGTGGAGACAAGGCGTCCAAGGCAGCCTGGATCTGACCATATAAATCCAGGAGGAGGAAACAGGCAGGAACTCCTGGCCTTCCCAGCTCGTTGAGCACAAGGCTGAGCCCCAGGTGAGAACCGCTGGAGAGGACAGCATCCGTCCGCCTTCACCCCAGGTGACCATGAGGGTGGCTGTGGAAGCCTCCATCGTGCTCCTCCTAGTGACAGCGTCCGATGCTGCGGTGATCACAGGGGTAAGTCTAGCACTCCGTGTGCCTGGGGTTTCCGACCATGTCAGCACCTGCAGTTTGCAAGCCCTCGAAGCCCTGACACACCGCAAAGAAAGGGGAGAGGGGAGGCAGCCACCGAACAGTGCCCCGGGAGAGGGCTGCGTGTGAGCGCCAGACTAGATACACCTCATTCTGATGGCTTTTGAGAAGCCCTGTGTGAACCAGATCTTGTTTTCAATCCATTAAGAGAACATGAAAAATTTAAATTTCAGTCCTCTGCTAAAAGGAAGATTGTATAATATGGAATTCCTTTACAAAGTGGGTTACTACCTTTTAATTTATTTTTTGTGTAAAGTTTGGTTTTTATATAAGATCCACATGTCCATGGGAACATAGCATATTGGCTTCATTATAGAGTGAGTTTATTAGCTGTTCTTTTGTCAGTTTCACCTCCTGCGTCTGCTTTTCAGAAGGGTCATTTTAAAATCCCTTCTGCTGCTCTGTATCCAGTTAGCACTCAGTGAAAGATGTGGGGGGCACCAATATTTGGCTGAGTATGCCCTAAACAAGTAGAAATGGAGCATCGCGGCAGAGGGGTGGCAAGGGTGTGGCACAGTTCAGCGTCCAGGCATTCAGGCTGTGATGTCCCCTCAGATGTCCAGCCCCACCCCGAGCCACTCTCGCCAGGCACACTGTGGGTGAGGGTGGCAGGAACATTTCCATTAAAACCAAAAGCAGTACTTGTCTGAGCGCTTTCTGGATGAAAGTCCCAAGAAAAAAGACAGGAAATTAATTTCATTTCAACCTCTTCCAACATTTTACATAGAGCAGAGAATTACGGAGTAACGCCAGGCGATTCCTGGAATTGAAGTAGTTATAATGTGCAGAGAAAGGAGAACTTCCATCATTCTCCTTTGTAAAGGACAAAGTCTGAGTTCAAAAGAAGAACAAATACTAAGGTCAAACTAGTGCTTTGGAGACACAGAGCAGAAATAAAATTGTAAGGCCAAATGACGCCAGGGGTGTAAGCTGCTGAAGGCTCGTTCCTGTTGTGTGGCCCGAAGGGCTGTCTGGGTGGGATAGGAAGAAAGAGGGAAGGAGAGAAGACACGGATGTCCCACAGCAAGGAAGGAAGCACTTGGGGAGCCCGAAAGCTCAGCTAAGTTTCACTGGACCTGCTCTAGTGCCTGGGTCAGAGTGGTGGCAAAGTTGACATGTGGGAAGGGGTTTTGTCATCTTCCTGGGGAAAAGCACAATAAGAGAAAGTAGGGTTGGGAAAATACATGAATGGCAAGATGAAAAATTATAATAGGTTGGTCGGAGGCCAGGAGCCCTTGGCTTCCATGTCCTGCTGGGGTCCCACGCTTGACTCAGGAGGAGACCTGTTCTACCCTCTCCACGCTCCCGTGTCCTCTGGACCGTGATTGCTTGCATGTTCAGGGTGTACAGCCCTTTCTCTCAGAACAGGACAGCAAGGCTCTGGCGCTGCAGGAGAAACGCTGAGTGAAATCCACGCCCACCCTCAGCCTTCCTGAGACTGGGCTGGCTTGTGAGCGGTTCCTCTGCCAGGCTGTGGATGGCGGCCAGTGATGCCACCAGCGCCTCCTCTGGGTGGAAGGGGACATCACATCTTCCTCCTCCCAGGACTGAGAGGGCTAAAAGCTGCCTGCACAGGCACTAGAAGGTCTCCTTGGCCTTCTGCTGGGGAAAAACAAATCAGAGCCCAGCTTTGGATTTCAGCTCAGCAACAACAACGAGCTTCCTGAGGGGCCAGCTCCTGACCCTCGCCATCAGGCCCTGCCTGAAATCTGGAGCAGTTCAGAGTTCTGTCCTCCTGACCCTGACTTTTATGTAAAGTGGGCTGTGTGGCCTTCTGTACAAATGGTAAGGCCTTTCAGCCTCTTCTGGGGGCCCAGCCCAGCAGAGACTTCTGCCCACAGCCCGAAGGCCAGGCCAGCATGTGGCGGAGGTACCAGGCAGAGGTGCTAGGGCAGGTGGAATCCTGCTCCCAGCAAGCGGCCTCAGCCTGATCACCAGGGGTCTGGGAGGCCCCTCCCGTCCCTAGGGCTCTAGGTAACCCAGTCCCACCAGCAGCCAGAATGCATCTGCTGGCACAAGGACAGCTCTGCCCCAGAGCCTTCCAACCTCCAGACATCGCCACAGGAGGACTGCCTCCCACCAAGGGGCCTCCGAGATCCGGGTCTGATGGCCTACGGAACCTGAGAGCCTGCAGTGGGGGCAGGGGTGACAGTACCCACGGCCCCAGGAGTCCCGTTAGGCCTCTTCTGGGTCCTGAAGGGGTACCTGCTTTCTCTCAGTGGCACTGAGGGCTGCCCCTCTCTGTCCCTGCAGGCCTGTGAGTGGGACGTCCAGTGTGGGGCGGGCACCTGCTGTGCCATCAGCTTGTGGCTGCGGGGGCTGCGGATGTGCACTCCACTGGGACGCCAAGGAGAGGAGTGTCACCCCAGCAGCCACAAGGTATCACTGTGCCGACGTGGGGTGTATGCCTTGGGTGGGGCGGGGACTGAGCTGACCAGGTGGTCCTGGCCTTGGCTCCCCTGGGCTTCCTGAGGACAGGCGGGGAATGGCAGCTCTCTGCTTCAAGGTGAGCCAAGCCCTAGCCTGCAGAAGGGAGGCCGGCAGCCATGGAGGCTACCTTGTCTGTCCCTCTGCCCTGTCTGTCCCTCTGTCCCTCTGCCCCACCAACTGTGTAGATGGCCTGAGTGCAGTGTCCCTGGCCTGACACCAGCCTCCTACCACTTCTAGACTGGCTGGAAAACCACTGACATTGTCTGACCCCCGCAGCTACTCACTGGGACTGAACTGAGGGCCCGGGTATTGTGACATGCTGAAGGTATACAGGGGAGAACAGCGGCAAGGGGCTCCGGCTTCCAGCCTAGCACTGCTGTTGGGCGGTGCCTCCTCTTTTGGGGTGGAATGGTAGCCCCAGTCACACAGGCTCTTAACCCTCCATTTGCCGTCTCCAGCAGGCAGTGTAAGTGCTTTGGGTCTCAGGTATACATTGAAGGACAAATGACCCTGAAAGTCCCCTGTGAATCTCAGAAATTTAGCCTTTCAGAGTCTCAAGTGCCCTTTGCTGCCTAGCAACCTCCTTTTAAGAACACTATGCAAGACCAGAAAATGGCCTCTCAGGACCCTGGGGACATCGGTGGGGACATGCATCCAGTAGGCAATGAAAACGAATGCTGAGTGCTTCCAACACACCACTCTTCAAACCAGGCTTTTTTCGCACATATAGAATTTCGTGTTGTAAGCGCCGTTAACCTGTTTTAAGCAGCGTGCAGTCGAGGCGCAGAGGGGCTAAATACGTGCTGGTCCACATGCAGCCGGAAAGTGTCAGAGCTGCGAATGCGCCTGCGTAGCTGACGCTGGCCTATTTTCCTAACTGCTCATGTTCCAATCCTTAAAGCCCCTCAGAGGCTCAGACTCCTTGGGATGCCAGGCAGGGGCAGGCCCGTCCCTCCACCGCTGCTCCGGGGCGCAGCACAGTGGTCAGCGCATAAGAGAGGCGCTGTGCTCTGGGTCTGCAGGGTCGCACCGCCAGGCCCTGGCCTAGCGCTCTCCCGCCCGGCTCTGGGCTCGCCCAGTCGCTCTGCCCCAAGGGCCTCCGCTATGATCACTCATCACACCGGGTGGTGGGAGGAGGAGAGGTCGCCATGTAGGGAGCCCCTGGATCCCTCAGATCCCGCCTTCTCTGGTGAAGCGCTCTCTGGCTCTCTTCCCTCCCCAGGTCCCCTCCTTCAGGAAACGCCGGCACCACACCTGCCCTTGTCTGCCCAACCTGCTGTGCTCCCGCTTCCTGGACGGCAGGTACCGCTGCTCCCTGGACTTGAAGAACATCAACTTCTAAAAGCCTGTCCAGCCCCAGAACACCTCCTGGCCTGATCCTGAACACAGCTTCTGGACTACGGGAGCCGCTTTTCCCAGTCCCCTACTCATGCACTGCGCAGCAGTCCTGTCCTGCCTCTGTGGTGTGGCTGGAGACCCAGGAGGGCAGTCAGCCCCGCTCTCTGCTCTGCTCAGGCTGCCTGAAGAAGGATGCTGCCCTCCTGTGCAGGCAGCTTGCACCCAGCCCCAGGCCCGCCCCTCACCTGCACGTGTCCTTCCTGCGCCCTAAGCCAGCAGTCCCTGAGCACAGGCCTTTGGCTGCATTTCTGAGTCACATGTGGGCTGGCAGGACCGAAATGAGAGTTGCCCATCTCCCCTTGATAACGCTTCATGGTTAGATCTCAGGCCTAAGGCGCCTGCTCCAGAGGTCTAGAGCAGTCACTCTGAGGAGGTGGGGGCGGGGTGGGGCTGGGGAGATCAGGCAGCCGCGCGGGACAGCTCCAGTTCCAGCCAGCATGCTGCCTGTGACCCACTGGAGCAGAACTGCAATGTCCCCAAAGCACCTCCCTAACACCCTTTACCAACTTACCAGGGAAGCCCTCCTTCTCTCCATTAAAATGCTAAGGGTGGCCTTCAATCTGATCTGATGTTAACAGGGTTAGGAGGCAACTGGGGAGTTACCTCAAGCAGTCCTTGAGAGCAGACCCTGGGCAGGGCTGTCCCCGCTCTGAGTAGGAGGAAAGGGGTAGAAGCGTGAAGAAAGGGAGGGGGAAGGAGGGGCGCACCGCGCACTTCCACTTTGGAGTACAGGAGGACACATCCCCAGTGTGCAGGCCAGGCGCTCCTGCCTCTGCTTCAGCCAGGGCCCATGCCTGGGGGGCCAGGCCGCGTCCGGGTGGGCGAGGGGCGAGGCTGGTGCTCCTTCTCGCAGCCAGGAAGATATTTTTGGAATAGGTGGATTTCAGCGCCCCCGAATGAGTTTTAAAAGGCAGCTCACAGACTGGTAAGGGAGTTTGGAGGGCTTGAGGCAGGGAGGGGCTGTAAGCTGGTGGGGGCGGGGAAGGCTTGACTGGGAGGTACGCTAGCTGGCTGCGCTGCTGGTTGACCTGGATTTTCACCTTGGTTAAGGCACCCAGAAGACCAGTAAAGCTCAATTCTTGGGGCAGCTGTTGGCTCATGGGGACCTGAACTTGGGGGTTGTGTCTGGCTCCACTCCTTTCTCTCTGGCTTTTCCCTGCCCCTTGCCTCCTGACAGCAACTCTTGTCCGCCATGTCCTTCTGCCATTGATGTATCCCTCTTGCAGCCGGTCTACCATGGACTGACACCTCAGAAACTATGGTCCAAAATAAATCTCTCTTCCTTTAAGCTATGGGTGTGAAGTGTTTTGTCCCAGCAACCAAAAGGTGTATTGCAACTCTGATGACTGAAATTCTGTCTTTTTTGCCTCTGTCATAGACTTAACCCCTCACAGGCTGCTGATAACCTGGGGCAAGGCAGGTCGAGAGAGAGAGAGAGAGAGAGAGAGAGAGAGAGAGAGAGAGAGAGAGAGAGCTGGCTAAGCCTGAGCCTGTATCTGAGCCCAGGGCTGGGACATTTCCCTGTGTTTAGGTCATTGATCGCAGGGACTCTTCCACAGCTATCCTTATCCTGTACAAATGTACAGTGCAGAAGGAAAGCATATCAGATCCCATTTGATTTCTCAGGAGCCTCAGAAGGACTGGAGTTTATTTTTTTCTCTGTATTTTAGGAAGAGTCCAGAGGGTGTTCAGGTCTCACTACTAGATTGGACTCATAGTGATCCTCCTGTTTACAGCCTCCCAAGTGCTAGGATTATAAGCACGTGCCACTATGCCCAGTTTCAATTGTCCTCTCAGCATGCCCCTGGGGCAGGGCAAGCATGGCAGGCCTGGGGATTGAACCCCTGGCCCCTGTGTCTGCTTGTAGTTGAAGGACTGGAGTTTCTAAGCCCAGGACTCGTCTCTCATTGTCCTGTACTCACCCTGCACCCCTTCGGACACACTTTTGCCAGGAAGTCTTTTCTCCAGGATCCACCAGGCCAGTGGTGCCTCTCAGCCACTGTACTTGCTGTGGTCTCCTTTGGCGACATTGTCAGCTGCCCTCCTGCCCTGCAGACTTTCCCTCCTTCAGCCCATACATCACTTGCCCTCTTCTTGTCAGGCTCACGTTCCATCTCTAAAGTTTCTTTCCTAGCTCAAGGTTCCAATTTTACCACCCTTGCCCTCTGGATCTCCAGGGACTCCTGATTGCTCCCATGATCTCTTGGGGTCCTTTCCAACCTGCACTTCTTGGGGGAGCAGGGTGTATAGCCATCTGGGCTGTGCAGCAGGCCATGTCGGGGACTGCAGAAAGCAGGGACTAGGAAGTCCCGGGGCTCCCCAAGCCACACAGCCCCTCCCCTACACTGCCCTTGCTGTTGGCTTATGATCAGACCAGCTGCACACACGTGAGTGAGACCAGCTGCACACACGTGAGTGGTAAAACCGTGTGTCACCTAATCGAACCTAGTCTCATGTTTTATAATAGAGTTCTGAGAAACGCAGAACTGGTCTGTACCCGTTCTCTGCTGCTGTTGTTGAAGACAGGAGGGCAGCCAGAAGGGCTGATGGGGAGGTGAAGAAAAATACATTTGTGTATATTCTTCCATATTTAAGAATACATTCTTCATACATACAGACATGTAAAAAGTCTACTTACGAGAACCATATATCGCTAAGGCAAACGTGTTCTAGAATCAGATCAGGTGAGGTTATCATGCCTTCTAGATCCACAATGTATACTTACCCCCAATCGGGCTGACACTCTTTCATCGCAAATGGTGGTATCTGGCGTCATCTAGTGGTGAAATTGGGGATAACACAAGATTGCGGTGGAAGAGGCCATCTCCGGAAAGCAGAGGAGACCGTTCCCCAGCCCAAACCAAGCTTCAGAGGGGCCAGCGTTCCAATCTACCCAAGAGGCCTGCCCCTCGAGGGGCCACAGGAAGTCCGCTTAATTGCCATTTGGAGCCCCGTGGCATCCTAGAGACCTCTTTGCTGTGAGTGTAGGACAGGTGCTGAGGACCCTGGCAGAGCACAAGGACGGAGCAAGCTCCGGGGACACTGTGCTCACCCCGGGGGGTCCAGAAGGCAGAGACTAGCGGTGAGGCCCAAAGAGTGGGCGGGGGTCTCAGGCCAAAGAGAAAGGTGACATCGCAGCGGCTTCAGGGTCGAGGCTACATCGCTCTGAGCGGAGGAGGCCAGCCACAAAAGACCACGTCATTGTGAGCCCGTTTATGTAAAATGTCCCGATAAATTTATAGAGACACAATGCAGATTAGTGGTTGGCTGGGGCAGGGGTGGGGTGGAGGCAGGAAGACGGGAAACACTGTTCTTGGGTTCGGAATTTATTTTGGGAGAAACAAGAATGTTCTATAATTAGATTGGAGGGATGGTTGTCCAGCTCTGTGAATATTCTAAAAGTTAAGCGAATTCTATTTTAAACGAATGAGTGGTATGGTACGTGAATTGTATCATGAAAAAGCTATTAAAATCATAATCTACAAGGTAAAAAGATAGAAAGAAAGGAGTAATCTTCCTGCTTCTGTTCAAAGATGGACAGGCTAACTCCAGGAGCCAGGCGTGGCCTCCAGGGCCTGGGCTTCCAGCGAGCCGGGGCCTCTCAGGGCCTGGTGACCCCTGGTACCGGGAAGGATGGGCGCTGTGTGCTGGAGGACCACTCCATGAACCTTCAAGTGGGTACACTCTGCTTTCCTGTGGAGCTGCAGCTGTAACCCTGGCTTTTATTCTGAGCTATACCCTCCACTCCCTTTAACTTACATTTTATTGTGTTTTGAAAGAGGGTCTTGTTAAGTCACCAAGTTGCCCAGGCTCCATTCCAACTTGACATCCTTCTGCCTTAGCCTCCAAGTGATCTGGGACTATAGGAAAGTAGTTATTTTTTTTTAAAATGATCTATTAGTATTTATTTTGTGATAACGAGGAGGAGAATTTCATACAAGGTGAATTTCATACTCCACAGTCAGCCATTTATACCCAGGAATTCTGCAGGTGGACTCAGCTATCTGTGAGTGAAAAGATATTTTAAAAAATGAATCTAAGGAGGATAAATTGGAGCCATGAAGAGGAAAAAGCGAGCACCGGAGACCATAATGTCAAAGTGGAGCGCAGCAGACGCACAAGCTTACCTGTCGCGTGGTTTCTCTTCTGTGAGCAACTCAAATTATAAACAAAGAACAAAATAAAAGACAGATAATAGCAGTGGAGAGATAGATCTCTCTCAAAGGAAAAAGAGACCAAGAAGTAGAGGCCAAGGGGAGAGAGATGGGAAAGAGGCTGAAACAAGGACCCGGGGCGTGCTGCGTACGGACCCACTCCACACAAGGCACGTACACTTTAAGTGCTGCAAACACGGATGGATAAAAATGAAGCATTAAAATCAAGACAACAAAAAGAGAAGAAAAGCATTTATACTGAACATATATGGATGT